CTCCTAGAAATGAGTTGTTTGATAGTATAACAGTGGGGAATACTTTCTGATGGAAAAAACAAGTTGCTGATAACAAAGTCCTGATTTGGTTGCGCCTTATCGTATGCTATGAACTCAAAGTCCGAATGTAGTCTTAGTCTGGTGGGAGTAATGACTGAAAATTTGTTATTTACCAAGAAAACAGTTTGGCCATGTGGAACTGAGGCTGTCTGGATTTAATACCGAGCCATCTGTTGATTCTGAAAAGTTGAAATACATGGTTTCTTTAACTGTACCCAATCTTTTTGTTCCTTTTCTTCTCCATTTGATTAACAGAATATTGATTCTAGAGACTCATGTCTCCAGTTTTGCTGCCTTCTAAAGCCAGCTTGATTTTGAACGAATATGTGGATGTGAACGAGTAAGTAAGCTCTGATTTGTTTATAAGCTGGATTTGCTGTCTTCTGGGCTAGTTTACGCTAGAAATTCAGGATGACGGATGCTGACCTGATATTGTATGGTGCTTCTAACAGTTCTCTATTGGTTCTTTTATATACGATGGATTGCAATTCATAAAGTCGATATATTTTTCTGCAATGCAAGAGATTAGACCATACATGTACTGTAACTCTCAAGCTGCAACTCTGTAAATGGTTACTTTTTGAATTATGATGGTTGTTCTTGTTTGGAAGATCAGCCTATTACTTGTTATTGATCATCTCAAATTGTTATTGATTTCCTAAATGGAGCCCTAAATTAGAACGTTGATCAATAACAGATTTCTTGCCTTTTTGCTTGAAAAAGGGAACATTTAGATAGAATTATTTACTGATTCCAGCTGCCCCTCTTTCAAACAAGGGTGCTAAAAGTTAAGGCTGGATACGGCTTATAATTGAATTGAGATCATTTGCTCATTCATTCTAGTGGCCTTCCCTCAAATCGAAATCGTGATTGGGGACTATTATCTATGATTGGTAGTTCTTAAAGCTTTTTTTTCTCTAACTGAAATGATGTTCAGTTCTAACTGCAATTAAGATGGGAATGTTTATGTTCTAGTAGCCCTTCCGCTCACCTCAAATTTGCTGGTTTTCTGCAGTTTCATAGAGTGAAAATGTGTTGTCCTTGTTGGTTCTGAAAGCAAGATGCTGATATGTCAACAATGCTTCCCTCCATAACCGATTCACCCATTTCCACAGTATTTTATGGACTGGAAGTGCTTGATGTAGTCCATAGGACTAGAAGGGTACTTGAGAATGATCAGGACCAGTATATAAACCCACGACATGCACCATTTTTTTTTTCCGGAAGCAAAATGCAGACATGAGAGTTCTTTGATGGCATGGCGGCTCCTAGAAGGAAACCAGGGGATTGTTTATATGGTGCCAGTTTATTCCAGCAAGGTTCATTCATTGTGATGGGATTTCTCTGTGCTGTAGTTCAGGACTTGAGATCCTGGAAGTGAAACTAGTCCACGTACCAAGTCAGGTTAATTTTATTGAATAGTCTCTTAAACTTGCATTACAATTGCCTCCTATTGTGGAATGAAAATTGTTCTAGGACATGCTTGCAGTGGTCAGGAAAATGTGTGGTTCTCTGAGACACCGAACTATGAAGTGCCTTGTGACAATTTTTCTGGTTTCCAATGGGGTTACTCATTTGGTGATTGTATTGAATAAAGTATTGACACTGTTTCAATTGTTTTGTGATCGATATAAACATCCTTTAAATTTTACAGTGAAGACACCCTTAATACTAGACAGTTGTCTTGTAAGGTTGTCGTAGTTTTTACTCCCCTTTCAGAATGCAGTAAGTAGACTTTGTTTCATGATAATACTTTGCTTTTTGGATCATTGTTGACACGTGGTCTATGGAAATCTTAGGGGGAGCTCAATTCTTGCATGTACAAAGCATTTATTTTGTAGTGGTGGCCACTTTTATTGACTGCATCTCATTATGTTTGAACGGAAAGTGTAGCAAGGAAAATTGTGATTGCAGCATACAGCAAAAGGAGCCCCAGGTTATTTTCCTTATACTGACCAAATGAATGTGGTATTACTCAGCAGTTGGTATCCCATTTTTCCACTTCATTGCAGTTTGCTCAAATTACGTATTGGTGGGCGCAAAGTAAGTGCTTGTACAGGCATGTAAAGAGCATATAAGCACAGAGGAAATGTTATCCCCATGTTATTGTTTAACAGAAGGCCACATCAGTCATCAGCCACCGCCGACGAGCACGTTTGTTGTTTTGCTCTGTTGGTGCTTGAATTAAGTGCCCTTGAGGGTGTTATTTGATGAGAAAGATCGTTATGTGATTTGCACTATCGTGTGTTGGTTGTTAGAAAATCCAATGCAAGACCAAGGTTCCATGCCAAATACGAAGTTTTCTTGTATTGGAGGCAGATTAGCAGGATGTTTCGGGTTCAAAGTTGGTTATGATGGGTCTAATCTGGTTTGATTTTTCCTATTCCAGAAACCCAGTAGTTACAAAGTTTGATGGTATGTGATTTAAGGAGGGCAAGCAGGAATGCTGAAACCCAAGTTGTGGTTTATGTTTTACACCCGTTACATGCAATTGAGCATTACTTTTGTTTCCCAATTCCTTTGGAAACGTCAGATGTGTTGTAAATTATTTTTGTTGAGATAATAGGAGGAGAGTCTGGCATCTTCAGAGTGGTATACTCGCGGTGGGCTCTCTTCCTTCATAGTGGTATGTATGTGATGGTAGAGGATGGTACTGTAGTCCAGTGACTCATTATCTGGTCGCTGAGTAGCTTGGTATACACGCCATTGGTCTGCAAACTGGTAGGTCCAACAATTTGAAATGACATAGCAGCCTATAAACTGATTATGTTTAGAGAGTCTGGGATGGGTGTTGATTTTCCTCTAATATGAGTTCATCTTATGTTCTTATGTGAGTTCAGGAGCCGTATGATCAGTTTACTCTGTTGGTGAAGGTATTACAACTACCCAACAGTCTTGGTTTTATCATTTGGTCTTGCAAATGTAGCTACCTTCTGATATTCTATTTCAGTCCAAATGGGAAAATTCTTACTGCTACTAATGAGATGTGTAGTGTAGTGAAACAGTCTGATTCTAAAAGAAGTTGGAAGAGGTGGATACAAATGTGAAAGGAGTTTCTATCCCTATTCTGCAAAAGGTTTTGATTCTTTCCAAGGATGTAGATCAACTTCGTGCTCTAGTCTCATCATAGGAAATAAAAGATGTTTTCTTCTCAATGAAGAAGGACAAGATGTCGATTCTATAATAGTTTTCCAATTAAGTTTGAATGGTCCTCCTTCAATGACAAGTCCGACTGATTAGAATTGGATCTTATTTCCAGTTTGGGGTATTTGATTAGGAATCAATGTGCACTATTGAAGATCAGCTCAATTTCCTACGTCCTTCCTGCGACCTGCCACAACCAAGATAAGCCATTACTTGACACTGAGGAGCTTTTAGAGGTACTGGTTGGTATCATGTCTCCTCTAATAAACTCTGCTGTAATGGTTCCATGTTCATTAATCTGGTGTACTACTCGTTGCCTTACTTTACCAAGCATAAGACCTCTTTGATCTTGATTGATTGTCAGAGTTCGCAACGTGTCACGATTGTGGTTCATACTCACTGTATGACCGGTGTTCATGTAGTTCCATATTATTGATTTCTACACTGATAATTTATACCTTCTGTTTTTGTATCAGTGTCCTATGGTAAGTTGTGACAGTAGACCAGCTACAAACATAGATGTTCCCTCAATAATATGGTGTCTGCACCAGGCATAAGAGACCCCATCAGAGTCTGAAATTGGTGACTGATTAAACGAATTGTCATTTGCTGGGAATTTTATTACTTCATGGGACATACTCAGAGTGCATCAAGAAGCTTGAACTTGACTTTATTTGGTTTACTTCTTATCTCAGTGTCAGTGTCACTTCTGACAATATATCATGAAACATCTGAATGTTGGACCGTTCCACATGCTATAGTGATCAAAATCATTCTACTCTCAAAACTTGTGTGTATGATGGTATATTTTTTGAATACCATGTGATACAGTGCCCCCTCAATTATTTAGCGTGTTATATAACCACCTTCTTCTATGTCTTTCACGGAACCTGCCCTTCTGTGTTGTTCAGTTGCTTTATGTCAGGCGCCCTTATCTGTTTTCGGGTTTGCGGCCGGTCAAGGACCGCCCGCTGACCCGGTCTTCTGATCGGACCTGGTCCCCTTATTGGGCCTTAACTGCGGATGCTCCCTTCTTGGGCCAGAGGCCCAATCACGCTCAACTATGCGGCCCAACAGTTGGTAAGATTTTACCTTTTATGAATGACTTTAGTGCATGGAAATATGCTTATGCAATGCGTAAACCGCAGAGGTCGCAGTCAGAGAAAGGAAAGCGTCACATTGCACCAATGGTTCAAATCGGCGAATCATAGCTGATAATGGTCGGCGGGAAGGATTCATTTCGGAGCCAACGATGTGGGAGCAAAGTGGGCCATTCATGTTAAAATATCAGCGGACGGCGATGGCCCAAACGTTGCCAATCAATAATCAGCCCCACGAAGACAAAAAGGCCAACATAGAAAGGTGGCAATGCATGATTGTCATAATGTCATTTCATCCCATCTCATTCCCCACGACCATGGAGTCAACTATGCAGGATGGGACTGGAAGAGACGACGACAGACCCACAGCAGTAGCTGACTAATGCCTGAGTTAGGCCGGCTCGGTCGACGTACGACATAGGAGACACTCGATCTAACTGGTATGCAGATCGGGTTCGTGTTGATACAGGCCTATATCGCCTCAATCGTATGACTTGAGTACCCAATCGTCCAATGTATACAGTGAAATTTTCGCGAATAACACACAAGCAACCCATCAAAACGAGAAAACACAATTTGATCATGTAGCACGGAGTATTGATAAACGTCTTGCCTTGAATCTGAAGACACCACTTTAGTTATAGGGTAGGCAATTCAAGCTCATGTAGACTCAAACTCTAATGAAAAAAATGATCATTGTAGAACTTCTTTTTCTTCTTTTACCAGAGTGCCAAAACCAAATTTACAGAAGGTGAACATGGAGGGACAGAGGGATGGAGCAAAAGAGATACAACAGACGAGAGTTTCTGGAGACCAACCTTTTTTTTTCTTCATCTTCTTTCTTATATTTATATAACCACCAAAAGGGATTCCCAAAATAATTTTCTACATTTACAAGGGGAGGAAAGGCAGCTATACCTGACTGACTGACTGATTGCTATACGTATAAATATATATATGATTATATGAATGATATATATATTTATAGCAACTGTACCCTTACCCAAGCTATCCACAGTTCTGCACTATCGTCGACGATGCAGGCCCTCCGATGATGACGAAGAAGAAGAATGTAACGCAGCAAGGAGAGCTGCCCCGACACACGATCCATCCTCCGTTGTTCTGAGAACGACGTGCTGCGCCACATCTTCGCCCAGTATTTCATTCAAAGCCTCGTGTAAGTACTCTCTGAACATCATGTAGCTCGTGTACAGGCTTCCTTCTACTGCTACTACCGTTCTTCTCATCTTCGCGTCGCTTCTACTTCTGCTGCCAGTTATCCCTCCGGTTCCATCCCGGCCAATTTTCTTTAGTATTCCCACAATGCCGGCAGCTGCCAACCGAGCAGCTCTCCGAGTCACCACGTCGCATACTTTGACGACCAGCCTCCTTGCCTTAAGAGGAACGTCTTGGATCTGGGGGAAGTTAACCGGACAGATCAAGTCAAGCAAAATGTGAGCTAATGTCTCATTTAATCCAAATGACTCGTGCACAGTCCATGTTGTACATACCTCTAACTTTTCTCTTAGGATGGCAGCTACTACCTTCAGGTCGGGAGTGTCATCTTCATGCATGGCCGCCATGAGAGGCATTCTGAATACAATGCTTTGATGATTAGATTTGTGATATAATATGATATGAACAAGCTGATGGATGATAAGGGGATAGTAATTACTCTAGCACGAAAGGTATCAATAATTTCGATGAGACAGGTCCAAAGACATCAGACTCCTCGCACATTCTGAGGAGTACTCTTCTGAAGATGTCGCCGAGATACATTCCAGAAATCATTTTCTCAAAACCCTGCGAGCAAAAATTCCAGATGTTCAGTGTGGGCATCTAAAAGTGGTTCAGTAGGAAGATCACATAGCAGCATGCAGCTGCATACCTGGTCATTTGGATTGGGGCTCTCCATATCCATTTCAATATCGTAAGTTGTTCTCGGCAAATGAGATGACCAGAAATTTCCCCATTCCATGTTGACCACCTAATTAGAAAGAGCGCCACAAAGTCAGCAAGTTCATTGAACACCAGAAGGGAAGGAAAGTAAAAACTAAAAAGTAATAGTGATTCCATGCATATGACGTGAGAAAAAGATACCATGGCTCCGGAAGATGTAAGGAGTCCTTGGCATTTGATGATTGCATCTGCCCTCTCCATGTAACAGGCATTGGTGCCTGTTCCAATTTTAACAGCAGCGACAGTGTCTGCATCATAATAGTGTCCAAGGGCTAAGATTCCAACAGTATCATTCACCTGTCAGATAAAAACAGTATAAGAATGATTTATTATACAATTTAAGTAGCATCTGGACCATACATACCGTGCAATCAGGAAACATCCCAAGACAATTGAACTTCGAAAAGTTGTACAGAGAAAATGAAACTACCAACAAAAAAACCAAATGAGTACATGAATTTCTGGACAAAGGAGACAATTTTGGGGTACCAATAATTTCGTGAATGGTATTGTATAGACAACATCATTAGCTTCCCTAGAGAATATGAGTATCATAATTGGTCCACATATGCACACAAGAGAAGAAATGCCACCTCAGCAGAAACACAGCAAGCCAAAGCATGTATAGAAGTCACTATATGGTTAAGCAAAAGTGCATGTATTCCTATGAAGAGATTTCTCAAGTGCGAAACATTGCTATGCAGTCATCAAAAGCACAACATCATGACAAGAAAGAACTGGTAGCTTACCAATACAGTCGCACACATATCTAAACCTTTCTTCATCAATGCTGCTTGTAAACGTTCAATAATTTCGCATCCAATCTACAAACCATTAAGCCACCACATTATGATTGCAAATTTGCAACTACCCTTCCATACTCAAAAACAAAATTTAGAGAGCTTCAATAATCTTCCAAATTGTTAGAAATATGACCAGAATTATTCACCAGCAAAAAAGAGGTAGAATAACATAAATTATTCAAGAAAGGGCTGCAATTGACTAATTGCTTCTACAAATTCTTTCAACAGATAACAGAAACTATCACTAACCATATCTTCAATAGCAAACCCTTTGGTCCACCGTATCAGGAAGCCAGAACGAATAGAAATCTGTTTAACTGGAAAAGAGAATGTGAACCCTAGCTCCCTGGTCCTAGATTGAGCAGCTTCAGATACAGTTTCTTCTTGTTCAACAAACTGTTTCAGTTTTGATGTAATGAAATCAAAGAGGTCCTGCAAGCCAAGGCATATATAAGCATATCCATAAATTAGGAGGAGAAAAGTAGGACTTTTTTAGAAACGGATAAAACACCAAAGATTAGTTACCTCACTTGTGCTGGTCATCAAGTGCTGAGGAATGCGCTGCCTTTTTACATCTTTCGACAATATCGAGGACCTTGTACCTCCTAGCTGAACCCGCAATACCCTAAAATTAGTACCGCCAAGATCTAGAGCATAATAAGTTCCTATTTCACTCCTGACAACAAAACCAAAAAGCAAATTGACAAATAGAACCTAAGAAATCATCACAAATATCCTTCACAGGTTAAGTAAATACATTTGAACCTCGGCTATTTTATCAGTGATTGGACAAAATGCAAAGCTTAGAAATAAAAATAGAAAACCCTGCTGATTCTGAAATGTATCATATTGGAATCCAGATAATTATGCGTGTTCCTCCATGTATCCACACCAAGTTCATGTGCACATAAAGCATACTTGTCCCGCTGTCCAGGAACAGTAAAAGCACAAGTTCAACCAGTATTTAAATACACTTCAATAGTTCAGATGGAAGTTCACCTATGCTACAAAGCATGTGTATTTAGGCCAGTAGAAATTCCTTGTGCTAGTAGTGACCTAAACCAACCAAAGCAACAAAGAATAAATGGAGATTATATTCCCTGATGCCGAATGCCAGACATGCTTGGGAATCCAAGAGTCCCGCCACTCAAAAGTGGAGCTTGGAATGGATTACAAAGTAGACCTCAAGAATCCCTAACTTGTGTTAGTGAAGTTTCGAAAGGAATAATTATCTGCCGAAGAAGCAAATTTATTCTTCAAAATGAGGAATGTCAACAAAACAACAGATGACCAAATCATCAAAATGACTTGAAAAGGTGGGGAACAGTATAACAATAACGCAGCTTCTTGAAAGAAGAAAAAAGAAGAAATGTATTCGAACAAGCCGAATGAGAAGACAGATAATAGACCAAAACATCAAGCCAAAAATAAAAACTTTGCACTGCACCAGCCGAAACCTTAGGAATGTGACAAAGTAAGGGAATTCAGATGACAAAAGAGACGCGTACAGGATGGTTAAATGGCAAGAAAAACAAGGAGAAGAGCTCAACTAAAACAATAAACCCCAATTCCAAAGCCGGGTAGATGGACAATGCTCATTTGATGAAGGACAAAACCAAATGCTCATGTTATTACGTGTATGAGAAGCTCTCCCTGCAATGACCAATTTCAATTGCGCCAAAAGTAGAGACAAATAAAATACAACGACATAAATCAAACTACTATGCCACCAACAAAAAGAACAAAATACTACTACTACTACTACTACTACTACACAAACTACGCAGAAGCAAACAACAAATCTAGGACAGCAAATAAGATTAGAAGCCAGGAAGTCCAAACTGTTTAATTAAAAAAAAAGGAGTTGATTCAAAGACTGGTAAACCTAAGTGTACGATCAAATGAACGAACAAGAAGAGGAGGACCATTCCCAATTTCAGACCTTTCCCCCTTATTTCCAGAGACTACACAGCAATCAATCCACGCTGAAAACAGAGAACACAACAACCCAGCTACCCAGCTTATAATGAGTAACAACAAAGCGAAAGACCTCGTCAATCAGAGGACCCCCCACAGAAAAAGAAATGACATTCATTGGACCAAAGGGAGGAGGGGGAATTTAAAAATAGATTACCCATTAGGCAAACGGTCAACGAAAGTGAGCAACATTTTCAGCTTGGACCCTCCTTCGGAGGCCAATCCAGCATGCATCTCCACGGCCATAGCATCCACCACCTGCTTCAGCCTCCCTACCGGCGTCTCGCACGATTCTTCCAACTCCCTCAACACTCCCACCACTCTCCTCCACTTCCTTCGACTCCTCAATCTCCTTCCCACCACCACTCCGGCCACCGCACAAGTCGCCACCGCCACCCCCACCGCTACTCCCACCGCCAACTTCCCCATCTTCGCGAAATAAAATCGAAAACCCCCCCAATCTCAGAGCAACAAAGTCGTCACATCGTGGAAAGAACCAAATCCCGGCCGCTGCCTCCTTCCTCTGTATCCTGTACGCAGGCCTCAATGAGCAGAAGCCAACCAGCAGAAACCCCGCCCGTACGCGAATTCCAGGCCTCTTCCCCGCTGGGAGAGGGCGGAAGAAGAAAACAGAACAAATCGCCGCCGGGAAACTCCTTTACTCTCCCCCCGGGCTTCGGCTTGCAGATGACCTGTTCGATAAAAGGTCTGAAAGAGAGAGGGGTTCGATTTTTTGTTCTTTTTTTTATATTCCTTCTCGTCGTTTCAAGCAGAGAGGGGAGAAATGAAAGTGAAGGGAGGAAGAGAGAGAGAGAGAAATAAAAAGGAGAGGGTGGGACGGGGTGAGAGAGAGTTATAAAGGGTGAGGGAATGCCAGATTTGCCCCTGAGCGTGATGTAAGAAAAATGACGAAGTATGGATTTTAAATTAGAGTCACTTATAATTGAAATTATTTTAGTTTTTTATTTTTACCGTTTTGATTGGAAGATCTTTGGGGGTTTATGGCGAATTTTGACTTGTGTTCTTTTTTGCTTTTAATTTAGGTATCACTTTTTTTTCTACGGTGTTGTTTACCAAACTGCCCCTCTTGGTTTTGATTGAGATTTGATGCTGTTGATTGTTTTGACTCTTCTTTTGATTATGACCTTTTTCCGAATTGGGGGAGGGGGCATTGGCAATTTTAAAATAAAGGAAAAAGAAAGATGGTACTTTGGATTGTGACTTGCTTAGTAGTGTAGAAATATGAAGTTGCATTCTTGATAGATCCGTGAAATGTGCTTCTTTTAATCTGGATTACAATATTCTTTTAAATCTCGTCAAATTTTAGTGGACGTTTGTTCGAAAATTGACTGTTTATAAACTAGTTGAGTCGAGCTCGAGATTTGTCTTGTTTAGGTTTGACTTGTTAATAAGCTCATTTATAAACGGGTGGAGTCGCGCTCGAGCCGACTCTTTTCTTCAAACCTACATGACTCATCAGTAAGTTGGCTCGAACTCAATATGATAATTTATAAATTATATCATAATATTTATATGTCATATATGATACATGTGATTGACTGATCTCGTGTCATATATGAGGCATATGTGCTCACATACTCAAAATCTTAAACATGTGAGATATAAAATTCAATAAATCTATGAATTATCAAGGAGCCAACTCATAAGATATAGATTGATTTCCTCGTAACCCGGTAGTCGAGTTTGCTCACTAATCACAACGTTGAGACATCTCATGAACTTAAAACGAGAGAGCTCGTGAGTTTAGCTCAACAAACCACTTTTAGTCGAGCTGGTTCACGAACTACACAAGGTTTAACTCAAGTTTGACTCGTTAATAAACGAGTCGATTTTTCTCTTAATCGAATAGATTTTTATCGAATTGAACATCGAGCCCAGCTCAGCTCATTAAAATACCCTACATAGTAACACTAGCCTATAATTCTATTATTTCTCTGCCAAACCCCAAGAGTTGATTGGTTTAGTTTTCACTTCTTAGTTAAATTGAAACCGTTAGCAAATGGAGAATCTATAACTAAAAGGAATCTCTAATTTCCTCTGGTCAATCATGTACTATGATAGTGCCTATCAGCATGCTTTGTTTCGTTGGGCAGGCAAAATGCATTACGCCCTTTTTGGCTTTTTAATACTGATTTTCAGTTATCGGTATATTATTTTCCTGCACAAATTATTTGTCCTTTGACATTTACGTGGTGGTATATATATAATTAGGGTAAATGACACATTTGGTCAATGAGATTATTAAATTGTGTCATGTTTAGTCACTAGAAAAAATTAATATCAATTTTGGTCACTCGAATTACCGAAACTGGTCAAATTTAATCACTCTCCCGTCAGTTTCCGTCCAACTCCATTAATGTAGTTGGACGGAAACTTTTGGGAGAGTGACTAAATGTGACATGTTTCAGTAATACGAGTGACTAAATGTGACATTTTTCAATAATTCGAGTGACCGGAGTTGGGCAGAGGCTACAGAAGAGTGACCAAATGTGACCTGTGTCAGTAATTCGAGTGACCAAAATTGATATTAAATTTTTCTAGTGACTAAATATGACACAATTTAATAATCTCAGTGACCAAATGTGTCATTTACCCTATATAATTATATATTTTTTTGTTTTTGGTTAAAAAAGACTTGTGATGTGTAAATCGTAAAAATAACATTGAAATTGGCATTTGATATATATCTAGTAGCTTTTATTAATTTATTTATATTCAAACACAAACAAAAATTAGTTTAGCACACAATAGTATTTTGCAATTTAAGCATATTAAAACACACTTAATTACCACTATGATTAGAATTTGGGCTCCTGTAAACCAAAATCCAATGAATTGATAGACCTATTGAATAATATGTTTTTCCATCACCAAAAACATACATCGTATTGACTTGATTATTCAAAATCGGCTTACAGTTCGACAAGTGCATCATTAAAAAGTTGAGTAACAAGTAAAGTAATCGAAGCTTATGAATTTGAACCTTGATAACTAAAGAGCCGGATAAGGGGAGAGGAGGGCAAAGAGTTTTTACAAATATTTACAATTCCCAAATACATTACAAACATTGCACATTTGCATGTATGTTTGACTATATTTTAAGATCTTGATGTAAGATTGTAATTATGTTCACCTAAAATTAACAATAGAAATTTAATCTCTGATTATCGTGACAATAAATAAAAATCACTCACACGCTTGCTCTTCTTATAAATGAAAACTTGCTCCTCTTTCAATACGAGAATATTCAACAATATATTGTAATTAGATCAAGATTAACACTCCCTTTGCAAACACTATATAGTAATATCTACAAATACACCCACTTTCGATAACTTGCTCTTCTTTCAATACGAGAATATTCACCTAACATCTTTCTAATTACGTAAAATATCAACACTTCTCCACTTTGCAAACACTATATAGGTACAAAAGATAACTAGAGATAAATAATCAAATGAAAATTCAGTTTTTTCTCTCCAAAAAAACCATTTGCCACTTCCATAACTCCAACTCCAACAAACCAACCTTTCTGATTTTGTACACATGGGTTAATCATGTCATTTACAGGTGCTTTAATTACAGACAACAGTGACACATACCATTCCAAAATTTAACGTGGTCATTAATTATTAGATTTCAGACCATTAAAATTATCCGTTTTATGATGGGGTGTAGGTTTTTTGAGAAGCTTGGATTCGATCTATAGTATCTCTAGGGTACTTGATTTTTGCCTACGCTACAGCCACTCGAAACAAGAATCCGAGAAAATTATTTTTTCATACCCCATAATAATCTCCATCTATGGCTAAAATTGACCAAAGTTGTAGTTACTGTGCATTTCTTAATTAGGATATAAATCTGCAAATATACCCCTTTCCCGTTTTCAAATAATGATTGCACACTAGACTATATACATGCATAAATTGTTGTTTACTTTTATCTATACCACTAGAAAATGATCCATCTAAACAAATAGTTTTTATGATAGAATAAGATAATTTGCTTACAGTAATCGCTCAACATTTTCTTTTCGTACACTAAATGAGATGTTTTGTCTTCGACATATGCATAATGAGTAGAGTTCCATTGTTGATCACCTCCTTGAGCATACTTACTTGATCATAATTTGCTTACAGTAATCGCTCGACATTTTCTTTTCGTACACTAAATGAGATGTTTTGTCTTTGACATATGCATAATGAGTAGAGTTCCATTGTTGATCACCTCCTTGAGCATACTTACTTGATCTCAATCGAAGGTACCATTTTTTAGCTTTCGTAATGTCTGTGTTCTTGATGGGGATCGGTTAGCTTGCTAATTCCTTTATGGGTTGGAAAAATAACACCCCTATTAATTATAGTTAATTATGGTATTAAATTCGTGTTGCATTTAATAATCTTTGGAAATTAAAAACTCATATAAATTACATTCATTTTTTTAACTACCATTACACTATATAACTATCATTGCACATCTACACTGAACTCATATTAATTACATTCTTTTTTTTTAACTATCATTGCACATGTACACGAATATCATTGCACTGGTAGAACTAGGGGTTGGCATCGGTCGATTCGGTCCAAGACCGGACCAAACTATCCTCGGACGAGACCAGTTTTTTTCTAAATTAAGGACCAAAGTCGAATCGTTATTACTTCGATTTGGTCTGGATCAAACCATATATGGCTCAATTCGGTTTGGACCATCCCATTGGACCGACTAATCTTCCATTCGAATAAAATCACTCTTAAAGGACAACACAAGAATTAAAAAATGCAACTACAAAAAAAAGTAATAAAATTCTCCTAATTTAAATACTCCACAATTCTTAAAAACCACATGTTCCAAAATATTGTGCAAAAAGCTAAATGAGAACTACTTGTCTAGAAGACAAAAGTCTTGTTATTCAATCTCAAAAGTAGTCTAACTAATTGCCTCTCTAATCTTCCATTTTCATTTCCAAGAGTGCATGTTGGACCGCCCAATCTCCATAATTTCCACTGTTCATTAGAAAGTCTCTCTTCTGCAATATAAGCACATGATATAAGGCGTTAGAAAGGAGTTTAACTACTCCAAGAACTAGTGCAATAGAACAAATGGTTCTTAACCTTGCTAATTTGCAGTGGTGTTGTCAGACTTGGCAGGACCCTTTGTTGTGTCATTTATTCGCATCTTCTCCATATCTGAAACATTAAACAAGAAAAGAGAACACAATATAAATACCTGGTTCACAGTGTGTAGGTAAAGTAAGCATCTCTCTTGATCGAAGCAACGCGGATGAGAACTCTGATTTGAGGGTAGGACTATAGGAGCGGGAGCGACAAGTCAAAGTCAGGGAAAGTCAATCATATTTATAGGCAGTTAAGTGTCGTGTAGGGGTACTAGGGTTTTCAACTCCAAGTCTAGTTGCCTGCTCAAAGCCTAATAAAATAGGTAATTAAGTTAATTACGATTCGGTCCGGTCCATAGTTTGATTTTACGATTTCGGTCTGGACCGAACCAAAGCCGAAGAATGTCCCAAATTCAGGAACCAAAGTCGAATCGAAAGATAAACAGTTCGATCTGATTCGGTGTGAGAGTCGATTCGGTCCGATGTGAATCGAATCGTTGCCCACCCCTAGGTAGAACTACCATTGCACTGGAAAAATGAAAGTAATTAACATGAGTTTTTAATTCAGACCGATTATTAAATGCAACACAAATCAATTACCTTAAAAGTCTATAATTAATAAAATGTGTCATTTTTCCAACTCATTCAGGGTTGTCCTGATATCCCACCCCATTCCTGATGTGTGTCTTTAAATTATCGATGGACTTCTTTATGATTTACCGCCTCTATTTGACACTTACGTTAATGATATCAAA